AACTACGGCTACTGTAGGAACAGATACAGAAGATGAATTAGCTACAGGAACTACAGAAATAGTCCAGCCTGCTGCTACTACTACAACGACGACTAAAAATTATGCTCGAGAACCAGTTGAACGTATTGAAAAGTATATATTAGAATATATTCATTTTTGTACACAACATATGAAAAAATTGGCCCAATCTCGAATACAATTAGCTAAAGTTCAAATGGATGAATTTAAAGCATTGGAAGATTTTGAACAAATAGCTAGCCCAACTCAATGGAATATTCATTTAATATTAAAACCTAAAATTAAGAATTGGTCTACAAAAAATAAAAATTATCAAATATTATCAAAACGTGTTGAATTAGATTTACCTCCAAAAATTATTGAAAAAGTTGATTTTTCTTTTAAAATTGATGAATCAATTATAAGTCAAGATGAAGCTCAAGCCACTTATAATCAAATGTGTCAAATTACCAAAGATTTTCGTATTCAAGCAATGACATTATATGTTCAATCAGCTGCTAGAGAAAATGAAATCTTATCAAATGAAATTAAAGGTATTGTTGATAGATTTCCTCAAGATAATGATGATGGTTTTGATGCTGAACCTGGTTATGCAGCTTTTAAACAATATCATGAATTACGAGAAAAAAGAATGAAATTAGAAATTGAACAATCCATGCATTTTTTATTCGAACTGCAAGTCGAGGGCGATACCAACAATCTGCAAATACAAGAAGAAATAATCGCTCCGACTGTAATACGTTCGCTGGGCGAGGATTTCTTGCTCCAGCAATAATTAATGAAGCAAATATTCGATTAAATGAAGAAGAACATCAATTATTAAAATTGGGACCTAAATTTATATTTAATGACCCAAAAACAGCTGCTCGACGACGTATAACTGAGTTGGCTGCTCTTCGTCGAAAAATTGAAAATTGTTTCTTTCGAAAGAAAGTGAGCCCTGGTCGTCCTCTTCAACAATTTATAGCTGAATTAGATGTTCTTCTTCAAACTTTACATAATGTTTCAACAGTAGACAAATATTTAAATAAAAATGCATTAATTGATAATAATACAAATCAAAATAAAAGTATTATAGAAATTATAAATAGTCAATTATCTCAATCACAAATTGTTAATATAATTAAAATTAAGAAAAAGAAAAA